CTATCTCCACCCATCGTCCCACGTCACCTGCCACCCACCCATGAACTCCATCTACCCGCCCCTGCCCCCCATTCACCCTGTTTTGCCTCCTATGCTATTAAAATATTATTAAGTTGTCTCAAAACATCTTTTTTAATATTAATTTTCAAATATTAACAATAGAAACTATTTTTTTTAAGAATACACTTTCTTTTCTACCAAACAACGGGAACTATGGTTGGAAAATAATTTTCCTGGGAAATCATTTTCCCTTAGAAAATACAGAGTATTCTTCTAGGATCATTTTTTTTCTCCAACCAGACGATGGGATGGAAGGAGTACATTCTTGATTCTGCTTTGTAATTTCTATGTATAATTTTCAATAGTATAGAATAAAGGTAGCGCTGATTCAAAGTCCAAGTTCCCAGGTTTCTACTTCATCTTTCCTAATCCTTTCCTCTTCCCAAGCTCAAAATATATTGCATTGTCATTATATCTACCAATGACCAATAAAGGTACAGCAGATTCAATGTCCGAGCTCCCAAGTTTTTACTTCATCTCTCCTTATCCTTTTCTCTTTCCAGGCTCCAAATATGTTTATATATGCCGACGACTGTATATTTATACTTTGTAAATCTTGAAACCTGTTTGCTCATGTATATTTATGCTTGACAAAAGCCCTATGGTAAAGAGCAGTTCGAGGGAGACATAAAACTGAAAACTTGACATTAAGTGGCGTTTTTATGTGGCACACATTCATGGGGTGATAATCTGTTAATATAATAAGACCAATTGAACGTGTGACATATAAGAATGTCTCCCTAGAATCTTTGCCGTTATAACCCTCATTGGATGCATACTTATACTTACCATGTTGCAGTACTAAAAGAAGGCAGAAGAAGAGAATTCGCAGAATCCTCGACGATACTGAATTGGGAGAAGAGACTAAAAGGAAAATTGCAATTGAAAAGGTAAAATAAACTATTGGAGTACTGCTGAAATTTACATTTTTAAAAAAAGAGGTATTACTTCATTTTTACCATTACAGGAACGCCAAGAGCGTCTTAAATCATTGGGGGCACAATTCTCGAGCAAAGCAAGGATGATGAGTTTTGGAGACTTGAGTAAGAAGTACTCTGAAAATGGTAATGTTGAAATGCTTGGCGATTCGAAGACAGGATATGTTGTTAATGTGGTGAGAGATGAAGGTGAAGAGGCTGTTAGGATTCCCCCCAGCATGTCGGCAAAATTGAAATCTCACCAGGTTCATTTATTGTTTGTTGCTTTAGTCTTTATCTAGTTCATTCCCATGGTAGTAAAATGAATTCAGATTATTACTGTTCTGGCATCTGAAACTCCGTGTGGCCTTGAAAATCTGTGTCTGATTCCTATTTTTATGTGTTTAAATAAAATATATCATTACCTTTATCATCATAAACATTTTTTGAGTTCCAATAAATGAAATTATTCATTCTCATTAATTCTTGTCACTGAAGAAAGTGAAGTCCTCTAAGCATATCCCCATTTGTTTGTATTGCTCCATCTTGTTATCTTTTTCATACATTTATGTGTGTCATGCAACTTCTTTATTTTGTGAATTTGAAAATTTTGTAGATGACATATTGTGAATTTGATGACAGACATCTTGATGTTACTGCAGGTTGCAGGCATTCGATTTATGTGGGAAAATGTAATTCAGTCCATTAAAAACGTGAAGTCTGGAGATAAGGGTCTTGGTTGCATCCTAGCTCATACTATGGGTTTAGGTAAAACTTTTCAGGTATCATTTTTTTGCGCTTTCCAATTTTTTCCAAAATAAATTCCTTTTTCGTTGTCTATTTTTTTTAGCATCACCCCATGGTGGGTGGGAGTAGGGGAAGAGGTAGACCTAGGAGGATTTGGGAGTCAGGATCTAAGACTTCTTGCTCTCACTGAGGATATGACCTTAGATAGGAGCGTTTGGAGAGTTAGGACTAGGGTAGTCGGGTAGGCGCTTTGGACTTTGTGGTTGTTTCTCCACTTGTGTGCTCTGTTTTCTTGTATGCTTGATGCTCTTTGGTGATGCGTTTTTGTTCAATTTAATTACTTTATTCTAGGCCTCTGTGTGCTTTTTGTTATCTTTGCTATATATGTATTCTGTGATCTCATTTTTATCTTTGTTGTTTGAGCCGGGGATCTCTTGGAAACAGTCTCTACTCTTGAGTAGGGGCAAGGTCTGCGTACATACACCCTCCCCAGACCCTACTCTCGTGGGATCCAACTAGGTTGTTGTTGTTGTTGTTCTTCTTCCATGGTTCATTATTGGATGTGATTACCCCCATCTCACTACACCTTTTGGCATGACATGAAGTTGAAATTGTTGACTTATGAAAACTATTGTATGCATAGTGACATTGCTCTACTCAATTGATTCTTTTGCTTGATCCTATCCTTTGTTAAAACCTTAATTTGAGAGGATAAAATGATTACTTATACAGAGAACAGAAGGTTTGTAGGCAAATATATACAATAGATGGTGTTTCTCTGTGCGGGTGCTGTGCTTATTGGCTTATTGTTGATGAACAATTTTTAATTTATAAGATGTTTATAAGTAAAAAGTTCTTTTGTGGAAGTAAAATGACTTAAATGATAGACAAGTCACTTGGGGATATTCATAAATGGAGATGGATTGTTTTGTAAACAATCTGGTCAAAACGGATAAACCAAAAAACTGGCTTGAAAATAAGTAGGTGAGACCAACTTATAAGGCAGCTTATTATTAGCACAATGGTAATCTTGGTAATTGAAGTACTTGATCTATCTGCAGAATTTAATTATGTTTTACATATATTAAAATTTATAGGAATTGCTCTTTGTTCTGTTTATTTATTAATAATCTTCTCCTCAAACTTTGAAGTTTGTTCACGAATGTTTCATTTTTCAAAACATGTATGGTGCATTGCAACCTTAGTAGACTACTGTGTCCTGTACATCTTGGAATTGATGTCTTTTTTACTTCCCTAGTTCATGAGATGGAACTTTACATTCAGTTTCATCTTTAGCAATAATTCAATGCAAAATTTTATTTTGCAGGTAATTGCATTTCTGTATTCTGCAATGCGATGTGTTGATTTAGGGTTTAGAACTGCTCTCATCGTCACACCTGTTAGTGTTCTGCATAATTGGAGGCATGAATTTCTAAAATGGAGGCCAACAGAACTGAAACCTCTTCGTATCTTTATGCTTGAAGATGTTCCAAGGTTCTTCTACTTCAATACCTTATGGAGTCTTTGTTTACATTATTACTCCGTAATTTATAAATAGTCACTCTTAGAGTATGTTCTCTTCGTTTGATCTGTTCTGTATTAAGGTCTCTATCTCTCTGATATTATTCCAATTAAAGTTAAAGTTGTATATGTTTCTAGTATGGTCTCATCTGACCTGATTCCAATATGAATAAGTAATACTCCCTCCATCCCATAAAACATTTCCTGTTTCAAAAAAGGCGCGCCCTTAAAATGAGTAATTTTGGTGTTATTTTCTAATTTTGCCCTTACTTTATAAAAGAGTAGGATGAGATATGTAGAATAGATTAGTCATAATTAAAAAATAACACTAAAATTACTCATTTTAAGGGCGCGCCTTTTTTGAAAGAGGAAATGTTTTATGGGACGGAGGGAGTATGTCGTAAGTAATAAGAATAAGTTGAAGAGAACAAACCCTTAGGTGGGATTGGTTGGATATCCATTTGATAGTTTTTTATTTTCTGTTTTTTTGTTCACTTTTTCGAGAATGTAAACTAGAAACACTTGGGATAGTACCTTATATTGTTTCATATGTGATAGCTAGGTAACTATATACAAGAGGGGTGATGAAACCCATGATATTACCTAAATCAACATCCTACCATATATGAAGTATACAATATTAGTACTCTGTATATACTGCAGAGTAATTAATACAAAAACACAATTCTGAAGTTCACTGGGACACCAGAAACATCGATTTTTCCCCTGTTTGGGAAATTTGTTTCTAACTATGACACTGTTCATCAAACATTTGAATTTTTTTACTCCCCCGTCCAAAAATAAGGTTCCACCTTGGAATTGACATGGTTATTAAGAAAACTTAAAATGTGTTGTACTGTGGTCGAGATTTGTGCACTGGAGCAAGACATAATGTGAACCCCACAATTCTTCATTAAAAAGAAAATTGAACAGTATTTTTGGGCTACACAAAAAAGAAACGTGGAACATTTTTATGAAGCATATGGAGTCTAAACTGTGTATGCAGAACAGACAATTAGCAAACATGTTTTATATTTTAAAACATTTTGACAACAAAAAGAAAGAAGCTTAACCCAAAAAACACTACAAAACTATCTCCAAGTGTTTCATAATTCTGTGACCTGCTTTTCATGCCTAACGTTGAATGCAAAAAGCAGTAAGCTTAACAAAGAGAAGTTAACACAACCTCCAAAGTGTTTCATAATTCTGAGACCTACTTTTTATGCCTAAGGAGGTTTTTAATTTGCTGTCCTATGCACAATTGCTATTTTTTGGGATCTTTTTGAGACTTTCAATGAGTACCTTACTGATTTCTAAAACACTCTTAATAAAGTCAAAATTAGTTCATGATCTTTAAGGAAGTCACTTGTGCATTTATTCATTCATCAATCCATTCAAATATTTCTTTCCCCTTTTCAGGGAGAAGAGATCTGAATTGCTGCAGAAATGGAGAACTAAAGGTGGTGTTTTTTTAATTGGCTATGCTGCTTTTCGAAATCTGTCTTTGGGAAAGCATATAAAGGACCGTCAAATTGCAAGAGAAATCTGCCAGTCACTCCAGGTACAAGCAAAAATGTTTTCTCGATTCCACATTTATTCTGTTTTTTTTTCTCAATTTCAAGTAGGGGTGATGTGATGATGTCTGGATACGACAACTTCCCCAAACCCTTTTTACTGGGCCTTTTTTATGTGATGCTATCTGCATTCCAGTTTCTATGCCTACAGTTCTTCTGATCAGTAAATTAGTTATTTATGAGTGATTTGTGTCAGAGAGTGCATTAAGATCATGTGAGTGAAACGATTCAATGACTATAGAGTTTGGCTGGTTAGTAGTTAACCTTATATCTGGGAACTTAGCAAAGGGAAATCCTGATCTTCCCATCTGATGTGCAATACAAAAAAAAGTGGAAGTTTGAAGCTGGTACATTGGTGCTAGTGAGTTTAATTGGAAAATGATGGGTGTACTCCAGAGGACTTCCACCACATGGAATGAAATAATGGAAAACACAAGAAAACAATAAAAACTGCATCAATATGGTGGCCAATAAGGTATTTGAAACTTTTTAATACGGTTCATGGCATGGTCAATCTTGCTGGCCCCTTGTATTACAGACCACTGTATTTGAAACTTTTTTCGTCTAGGTAAAGTTTGCACATCAATCTTCACTACCACACCCAACTCTTGTGTCCTGCCGTTGAACTTGCCCTCCATGTACTTTGTTTTGGTCGGTTGGTCGTGCTCAATCTGAATCCTTCAGATTCAAAAGTAGCTATCCAAACTTCCAATCTATTGTTAACCCGACTAAGGGACTTGTCAATCAAAACTATGTCATTCACAAGTGGCATGTACCAATGCATATCCTCCTGGTGCTTATGCATCTTTTTTCTGTTAAAGATTTTCAATAAGTGCACTGGTATAACAGTCCATTTTCTTCCCCTTTTGGGTTTCTTATTCTGAGATTGTCAAAATCCATATGTAATTGCTAGGATGGGCCGGATATACTAGTGTGCGATGAAGCTCATATCATAAAAAATACCAGGGCTGATGTCACACAAGCCTTGAAACAAGTAAAATGTCAGAGACGGATTGCTTTAACTGGGTCTCCTCTACAGAACAACTTGATGGAGTACTATTGTGTAAGGCTACATAAAGCTGCACTCAATTTTCTTAGTAAATGACCTGGTATCTATTTATTTACTTATCTCTTTTTTTTGTTATAGATGGTAGATTTTGTTAGAGAAGGATTTCTTGGAAGCAGCCACGAATTCGGAAATCGGTAAGAGTTGCTTTGTGTGCCTTTCTTCTTTATGTTTTCGCCAATAAGTCTGTCACATCCATCTTAAACGTTTGTGTAGATTTCAGAATCCTATAGAAAATGGTCAACACGCCAATTCTACTGATGAGGATGTGAAGATTATGAACCAAAGGTCTCATATTCTCTATGAACAATTAAAAGGATTTGTGCAGAGGATGGATATGAGTGTTGTGAAGAAAGATTTGCCACCAAAAATTGTCTTTGTAGTGTCTGTTAAGCTTTCTCCTTTACAGAGAAAATTATACAAAAGGTTTCTTGATGTGCATGGTTTCACGAAGGATAAGGTTACTGGTGAAAAGATAAGAAAGAGATCTTTTTTTGCAGGATATCAAGCCTTAGCTCAGGTACATTATCTCATTTTGTGATTATAATGTATGAACTAAGTAAAACATTTGCATTTTTCTATCGGAGAGCTTAGTACCATGCAACACCAAAGCAACTTTTATTTCAAGAGTCCAAGTCTCTCTGCAGTTTACAAATCACTGAAGACAGATGTTGAAAAGTAAAAACAAATGGAAATTACTTGGGTTACTTGGCCATGAAAGTACAGGCAGTAACTAAACCAAACTACACTAGATATTAGGAAACTTGTCTAGGGAAATGGGAAGCCCATTGTTTAAAGTCACATGCTGCATATGAGTTTGTGCTTGTAATACGGATAGATCACAACTGAAGTAATGGCTGGTTGTAGATATGGAACCATCCTGGGATATTGCAACTAATGAAAGAAAACAGAGATGCTACTAAGCGTGAAGATACTGTTGAAAATTTCATTGTCGAGGATTGCTCAAGTGATGAGAACACAGACAATAATGTGATTCCTTCAGGTGCTTTCTAGTTTCTTTATTCCATGAAGTAGTGCTTTGCATATTTATCCTTTTCTTTTTCTTTTTGGTATCTTTCCACATTTTAATCAGATTACAATATTATACGAGTATATTTTTTTCATTTGAATCACCCAGTAAAAATGTATATGGAGGCCTAATAATTGACATTGTATTGCAAGTTTTTCTTATTAGCATGTATTTGTGGAAGTATGGGTTACATAGGCCATGCTTTATCCGGCAAAGATTTGTTAGTTTTATCCAATGTTTCATATTTCCCCTAGCTTTTCTGTCGTTGCAGTTATTTACTGTTTTTTTGTGTGCAGAAAAACCAAATCAAAACAATGATTTACCACTCAGAAAAGATGCCACCGGCTTCCTTCACGGGGTGTGTTTATATTTCTTCCAACTTTTTTTAACGCTTTCTATAATTGCTTGATTGTCTTCTGAATACCTTGTTTTCAGTTAGCCATGTCATTTTGGATTTGAATGTTGTCTTTATTCTTAATGGTAGGTCTCTAGATTTTTATATCACTGATTATTTCTTTTTTGCAAATTTCTCTTCTCATGCACACATTTCTTTGAGTAAGTGTAGTGTGTGAATAATCTTGTACACATACTCTTTCTTTTTTTCTTTTGTCTTGCTAGGACTGGTGGAGTGATCTTCTAAAAGAAAATAGTTACAAGGAGGTTGATTATAGTGGTAAAATGGTTCTACTTCTTGATATCCTGTCCATGTGCTCTAATGCTGGTGACAAAGTACTAGTCTTTAGCCAGAATTTGGCAACACTGGACCTGATTGAGCTCTACCTTTCAAGATTGCCACGTCCTGGGAAAAAGGGAAAGCTTTGGAAGCAAGGGAAAGACTGGTTCAGGTGTGTACTGCTTTAAGTTTTGAATTTGATGCTTAATTATAGAATTTGGGTGTTTACTTTCTTGGTCGGTTATCTAGGCAATAGCCGTCTCTTTTTTATTGCTTTATGAACCTGTATGGTACTGAAACGAACCTGTTTGGTACTAGTAATTGTTTTTTTCAGTTAGGCCTTGCAGGGATATGTTTAGATTGCAATCACACTTAATGATTTTTTGACCTTTTGCACCTTGTTAAAAACAGATTAGATGGAAGAACAGAACCTTCCCAAAGACAGAAAATTGTTGAGAGGTTTAATGAGCCATTGAATAGAAGGGTGAAATGCACTTTGATATCAACCAAAGCTGGATCTCTCGGTATCAACCTCCATGCTGCTAACCGAGTGATTATTGTTGATGGATCATGGAACCCAACTTATGATCTTCAAGCTATATATAGGGCTTGGAGGTGTGGTTTGTCAGGTTTTTTTAAAATAGATGATTCAAGTATGGCACAAATATACATATAATGACCTGATACTTAACCAATTATAGGTATGGACAAACAAAACCTGTTTTTGCGTACCGGTTGCTGGCACATGGAACGATGGAGGAAAAAATATATAAGCGTCAGGTTTGATGAGAATTCAAATTACTTATAGCCTTGTATCTGTCACTATGGTTGGATGATGGAATTGAATGGAGGACTAGTTGTGCAACAGGTTACGAAGGAAGGCCTGGCTGCAAGGGTAGTTGATCGGCAGCAAGTGCATCGAACCATGTCAAGAGAAGAGATGCTGCATCTGTTTGAATTTGGAGATGATGATGGTGCTGATGTCATCTCAGATTTGGGAGGAAATTTAGGTG